AAAGTATAAACTTCGCTATACTAAATTTTGCGGTGACGGAGATAGTAAGACATTTTCATCTGTTGAAAGAGTGAATGGTGGTAAACTAGTTTCAAAATTAGAATGTGTTGGTCACGAAGAAAAAAAAGTTCGTACACGATTAAGAAAATTGAAAAAAAAAGGCGTCTAGGTGGTAAAGGAAGACTTACTGAAGCTACAATTGACAGATTGCAAAAATATTATGGAATTTCAGTTAGAACTAAAACCAGTGTGTTCATGAAATACGCAGTGCAATGCTTGCTTCATTGTTTTATGTTGCTTCCTCAAAAGAAAATAATTATCACATTTATTGTCCAAATGATGAAAAAAGTTGGTGGTAGAACAATGTTGATCAAAAACATTCTAATCAACCTTCTCTCTATAAACTTGGCCCTGGTTTGCCTCGTGATATTATTGAGTTACTAAAACCAATTTATAAAGAACTTAGCTTTAATGAATTGCTTTCAAAATGTATGCATGGAAAAACTCAGAACCAAAAATGAGAGTCTTAACATGATGATATGGGAACGAGTTCCAAAAACTAAATTCTGTTCATTCTTACATTTGAAATTTGCAACATATGATGCTATTGCAAACTTTAATATTGAAAGAAAAGCATCAGTGATGACTTATGAAAAACTAAATATGATTCCAGGAACATTTACGATAGATGGCTGCAATAGAGAAAATAAAATGCGTTTATATCAATGGTCATAAAATAAATCCGATGTAAAGCTGCGTAGAAAAACAATCAGAGGCAATAAAAAAAAACAAAAATGATAAGGAAAAGCAAAAACAATGAACTCTTTATGTTGCTGGTAGCTTTTAAACATTTTGCTCTTAAATTTACATACATTGTTTATTTTTATAATTTTTTTTTGCATATTTTTCGCTTTTTTAAATTTTAAAGTCTTTATTTGCTAACTTCTATTTTTCAATCTCCCGTCACAGTTATTTCATTTTCTAGTAATCAGTTTTTAAACAAATTTTCAGCAGTGATATGTTTTTATATGATGTATGCAACCTGCTAAAAGTTAATTATAAAACATTTCAGAGTTTGAGATATTGTTGTTTTAGCACTGAAAAATTGCTTATTTAAAAATCTTCATAATCTGTGAACTGCTACATCGAAACTAATAGTCAGATTTAAAAACCTTTGGCAGATTACATAGATCAAACTGTTTTTTATCATTGGGCCAAGAATTACTTTGAATACTCTATTAGAATTTGAAATATTTTTAACAGTGCGATGTGTATATTTTCTTATATACGCCATTTTAGGCGGTTGTCATGGCAACATAACCACCTGTAATTTTATAAATCAATTAATAAGATCTTTCATAGGCTTAATTTTAATTTTGACTATAAGATTTTACTTCCAAGATAATTTTGAAGGGAATATACCACCTTATATAATTGGGGTATACACCTTAAATAATTGGGGGTATACCGCCTTAAATAATTGGCTATGATTGAATAATAATTATTATCTCTTATATTTACAATCATTTTTTTGTTAAAACATTTTTATAATTTTCTCTTAGAGCATCTTATTTTTTATTTGTTTTAAATGTTTAATAGATAAATTTATTTTCTATTTTGTGTACATTTCATAATCTTTGACATCTAAAATGTTAAATGTTTTAAAAAGTGTGCTGAACTAAATACAATGTAAACCACTATAAAAAATATTTGAATAAGTGTGTAAATTTTGTTATACCGGCGAGTGTATGCTACAAAAAGAGTGCTCAATAATCATTAACTCAACGATGTAATAAATTAGCTTCCTGAGGATCCTATAAATGGTGAGACTGTTCAAACCCTTTTTTTGAAAATATATATTTAAATATAGTAGTATACAATTTTAAAGTATATATCTTTTGAATATATCACAATATTATTACATTGTTAATGTACTAACTATAGTTGCAGTTATTCTATTAAATAGTACATTATATTATACCATCAGTTATTTTACTAGAATTTATTAAAAACAAATGAATAAAATATGTGTACAAAAAGTGAAAACTAAACTAGGTAAATGACGCAGAAGCTGTTCAACGCTTCAAATAAAGACGCTCAGATAAAAAAAAACTGTCTGGTAGCGTCTACATGATGTAATTATCGGACGTTTTTATGACGTAGACTAACCGACTTACTAAATAGTTGCAATTACGACGTAACTTTTACAAATTTTAGCTACACCTATATAAAGTCCTAGATCTGCATGATCCTGTTGAAAAAAAAAGATTATGCTTCTCTATTTTTCTTATTTTAAAGCATTTTCTTTAAAAAGCTGTTTAAATATATGTAATGTGTATATTTTAAAATGTTTTAAAAATATACACATTCCAAATATTTTAGGCTGATTGCTATTGCTTCGCGTAATTTTTGTGATGTTTTCATATATATTCTAAAGTAATTGCATTTGCAATATATTGCTTTACACTTCTTTTGATTTTCCTATTAATCCTATGAGTTTTTTAATTATGATAGGGTCATATTATATTGATAATTTAATTTTATTATATTTTTACCAAACTTTACGCCTCTGCCGTAATGGGTCATTTTGTAAGTTTACTTGAACATTTTTTTTTTCAATCAAGGCTTAATATATGAATAGGCCTTAGGTATCACAAAACTTTCATTGCATTTTTAGACTCAATACCTTAGATACTTCCAAATTATGCAAGAAAAATCGTGTGCAACACTTCGCCTTTAGAAATAACTCCCATTAAAAATTGACAAAATTTAATATTTTTGTACTTTTGAACTATGATAATTAGCCAACCGCGCAGTGTCACAAAACTTTTTTATACTTTTTGGAGAGAGTTTTTAGGTTACGACTGGTATTAACTACAAAGGTTATGTGCAACTTTTTGCCTTGCCAAAAAAATGGATTCAAAGGTGGCAAAAATGCAATTTTTGAAAAAATTTTTAAAAATCTCAAAGTTTTAAACTTTGAATGCTTGATTCTTACAGAAAATGGCTCTTAAATAAGAAAAATTAGATTTCCAAAACAACGTGTTTAAATAAAGAATAATGTGATTATCTGACATAATCACAGTAATCTTTATTCAAACCCCCTTTTTTGGAGAGCACTGGTGATATTGTATTTCCAAAGGCTCTCTTACTTTCCTTATAAAGTAATCTGACTATACTTTAACAGTGTTATTTATTATTACAGCTAAAGACACCATGGCAATATATGTCCCGCCACAGCCAAATTTTCAACATCAAAGACAAAGTTTGTCTTTGATATTGGTAAATCCGTCTTAAAACCTTTAGGTTTGTTTCACCTAAATAAAATTTTCCACTTGAACACTCCAGTTTGTACACTCCAGAATAAGAGTTGTTGGGAAGTCGAGGCTTGTTTTTTTGAGTTATTAACTGTCGAAGGCTTTTTGGTGACTTCAAAACTGGAGTATACCCTGCATTTTTAAATATCTTTTTTAATTGAATTTTAATTTTGGTACACATTGTAAAGAAATATAATTTAGTTGTAGTTTATTGATGTTAATGTTGTTATTTTGTAGATTACTTTGCTTATTTTTTTTTTTTTTTTTTTTTTGAAAACGTTTTGAAGTATCTTTTTATCATAAAATAAAAAAAAAAAAATTTCGGAATAAAACCTTTGAATACACCGATATTTTTTGATCGTGACAAGAATGCGGCTTTTTTTTCACATTTGTTATTGCATTCTTGCGATAGATATTGAAAATGTATGTTCCGGATTTGTTATTTGTTACTAAGAGATCAAAAAAATTTATTGTGTGTGAATCACTTTCAATTGTATATTTGATATTTGTGTGTTAATTATTTAAAAACTCGAGTTGTTTTTTTTTACAAATACTACCATGATTGATCCTCTAGTAAGCTGTCTTCTCCTGTTTCTCAAACATAGTTTTGTTTGATTCACGTCCTATTATTGTAACTTTTGATTCAATAAACTTTTGTTTTTGTTGCTCAATAACTTTTATTACTTTAGTTTTTTTTTTCTCTAAACACTAATGCTTCAAAATTTCTTCCTTCCTTGATGTTTTCCTAACTTTTTCCTCCTTTTTTTGTGTAATTTATCTTCCCAAGGCCGAAAAGGGCACTAAAGATGAGGAGGCTACTTGTGCTTATAACCCTCGCTAAACTCTATAACTGCGAAACACGAACCTTGACGAATAAGGCCGAGAAATAAGTTGAGAGCGGTACTACCAGGGACATAGTCGGAATCGAACTCGGAACCTCTTGCTTATGATGCGAGCGCTCTACCACTACACCACTACCGTATATAATACATATAATATAATAACTAAAAAGCAATTTACACTTTTTTTAACTATTTGAAAACCGCTTTCTATCAATATCAACTTTTGCTGTTGAAAAAAGAAAATCTGAAATAAGCGTAGTTCAGTTTTTTTTCGTTTTCTTAAAGTTAATTTACTCGGTATTAGCGCATTTTGCAAATGCGCTAATACAGAGTTCGATTCCGACCACTTCCCATGTAGATTCCTCATATATATAAAATTTAAGATTCCTCATATATATAAAAATTATAAATGTAATAAAATACACCATTATTGATAAAAAAATAATAATTTAATTTACACGTTCTGAAAAGTGTTTTATTGACAACTTTTTTTAAAAAATTGTCCTAAGCCCCTTTTTCTGTTTGTAATGCTAAAATGGGTTTACTAATATTTTTAAAAAAATGAAAATTTAGGGGTGAAAATATCAACCAGGGCACACCTGTAAGACTAAAAAACAAAACTATATTTTATTATCTCTATTTAGTCAACAAAGTAAATTTTCTTCAAAAACTAAAAAACCATATATTCCAAAGAAATTCTTTTTTTATTTTCTTTTGTCAAAAATGAATTTTTTATAAATACAATGTAAAAATACAAAATACAAAACTTGTTGTTGAAAATACAATTTTCAACAGCAAAGATATGCCCATTGAACCATATCTAGTTAAACTTGCAGTAAGCAATCGTGCGTGCAAAACTAATAAATCTCTTCCAGCAGCTCTACACTTACAACTTTTGCTTTAAAGTATGAAATATCTAATTGTATATACAGTTCTTATTTGTCATGTAGGATTTTGTCAAGGAGCAGCGTTTAGTGATCGAAGTAAGTGTGACCACTATTATCAGCTAAAATTATTTATTTATTTTTACTAATTTTTTAAATTGTTTCGAAAATAGTTCAAAAATTTATTTCGGTACAGCTTTTTAAAAGTTTTTTTATTTAAACATTAAAAAAATGCACTGCGATGCACTATATACTTTTCTTAATAAATTTTATACAACCGCTATTTTATTATATCGCTATTTAATAACTGCATAAAATTTGAAAGATGCACTTTTAAATTAGATTTTACTACCTTGAGAACAATAAAAGATGGCTATCATTCTCAAAAAAAAAAAAAAACGAATTTATTATTTTAAAAAAAAAGAACTTATTATTTAAATATACATCTTATTATTTAAAAGCTTTACACACGCGCGCGTGCATGTACTCGCACGTATAAATATAAGTAATTTAGATTAATATATTCTTCAAAAATAAATAAATATGGAACACTTATATTTAAAATGCTTTTTGTAAAATATTATAGTACTTGGAAAGAAGAAGACAGAAAAAAAAGAGTTTGAGTTTATTAACCATGATATCATTTCCAAACGGCAATTTATTCCTGCTATACCAAGTGAGGCTTGTTTTGGATTTGAAAAATTGTGTTAATTTATCCATCGTTTAAAATATTTTCTAAATTCTTTATGTTTTCAAATGTGTAGACTACGAACCTCCAGCTCAATTTCAATACGCTCCTCAACAAAATATTTGGGAGAATGTTAACACTTGGCACCCAGAAGCCAACAATTGGCCTCCAGAAATGAATAACTTTTCACCTGAAGCAGAAAAAAATGATTTACAAAAGACAAACTTGCCTAGCTCGGCATTAAATATACCTGAAAGTGAAGAAAATGCTGAGGCAGCATATAAAGGTTTATCATATTACATTGGAAGTACTATTAATAATAAAGTAGATTTTCCTCCGGGCTTTCCTGTAGCTCTTGAAGTTGACAAAGAAAAAAGTAATTACGAAGAAGAGGAGATGAAACTATCAAGTCAGTCAACAAAATCGCAAAAAGCCTTAGGTAGGAACGAAATTATAGCTAACTTTACAACAATTGTTGACTATAGTAATTCCCATGAAAATACGGGAACGCTTCAGTCAACAACTACGCCATCGACGACAACTTCAACATCTACAACGGTAACAACAAAAACAACAAGTAAGTCTACAAAGGAAGATTTACCTGATGAAAGTGGTAACATCAAAGGTACTGTTTGCTACTTACCACGAGTTGTTGTAACTACTAGACTTGTCGGTTACACTGTTATAAATGAAGTTAAAATATATACAAGCCCAAGAGACGAAAATTCCGTCCACAGTTTTGTATCAAGTCACGAAGTTTCTGATGCTGCTTCAAAAGTAACCCACGAATTTGTTTTACCTCCAGAATTTATTGTTGAGAAACCATTATCTAAATCAGATATGAAGTTTTACAATAATGTTCCGGTTATGCTGACTAGCTCACGTATTGAAGGAAACCATGTTGGCTATCCTATATGTATTAGTGAACCCTGTGTAAAAAGGACTGAAGAAAGTTTTGGTCCAACTTACAATCCGTTTCTACCTACGACAAAAACCCAAGTAAAACTAGATAAAACAACAACCGGTACAACGACCGAAATTCCTAAAACAACAACTACAACAATAACAACATCAACAACACCAAAAAATTTATCTTTAATTACCAAAATTCCATTTGCAATTAAAAAATCGTTGGATGCAAAAGTAAATAAACCAGTTGAACCAAAAAAACGGTTTAGTATTGAACAAATTAATTATGAAGCAAGGCATCGAAATGCGCTCTTTGATGTTCCTGGAGGGGACTCGTCAGGTAAACTTATATTTTAAATCTATCAAAAAACTTTTTAAAAAAAATTTATTTGAAGTAATTTAATGTATATGCGTTTTACATTTAGCATTTAGTGGGTATCAAATACTAGGTCCCCCAGACGTTCAACAAGTTTGGATTAAAACAGCAGCAAAAAAATAATATAAAAGTATGATTATTTGATTTAATTTTTGAAACGGTGATTTTTTTATTGTTCCAAATTTATTTGTCAATAACAATCTCCTTAAACTGATATATTTGCTTAGCACCTGTAAATATACTTTTTCAAATAATTTGGATTAGAATATAATAACAAGTACATATAACTATAATAAAACATACAACTATATAAAAGCGTATAACTATATATATAAAATTTTTTATTATCTAAAAGTATTTAAAAAAAAACTAACAATAGAGTAATTCAAAGCTACGCCACATTATTATTCTATTGTAAATTACCTAACAGAACGAAATAGAAGAAGGAACAAAAATATAGTTTTATTTAGAAATTTTAATTATAAGATTTTTGAACTAAATGATTTTATATATAAATAAATATATGATTGTAATATGAATATTTGACAAAAATGTTGTAAGATTATTTTGAGTTTTAAATTTTAAAAACAAAGATAGATAAATAGGCAACTGGCACTTATATTGTTTTTATTTTCATGTGTTGTTTTATAATAATGAATATTTTCAACATCATGTTTATTAAATATTATCAAATTCCAAGAACTGTTTTTATTTTCAACAATACACCTATTTAAACCTTTCCTCAGAGACCGGTGGAAATTGCAACCGGGTAGCCTGTTTTTGGTCCCAGATTCCCAAAACCGAAACCCAATTTATTCTTCTAAAAAAATTACATGACGAATATATATATATATATATATATATATATATATATATATATATATATATATATATATATATATATATATATATATATATATATATATATATATGTATACATTTACGTATTAGAAAGAAAAAGAATTATTGTGCTATTAAGTATATAAATGTTAATGACGTTGACTAAATAACACCAATAATAAGAAATATAATTATTTGAGATTTTAAATATATATATATAATGTAACTTTGTTCTTATTTGCAAATATGTTTTTATTTTGTTAATAAAAATTGATTCATTTTGGACTTATTTTATACGGGGCAATCATGGCCGTATAAAATGGCTAGAAAATAGAAAAGTCTTCAGATATTTGTTTGGTTTGTGTGGAATTTGGTAAAAATCAAGAATGGTAAACTAAGCTGCATAAGGTGATTGGGTCCACAAAGATTGTACAGATCCCCTCCATAAAAACGATATTTATATCTGTGACTATTGTTCTTAATAGTAATATTGTACTACTCCTTTCTATTAATTCTTAAACTCATAAACTTATCCTCTTAAACTCTTATAAAACTTGTTTTTAATAATTATTATTCTTGTTTTCAATATTCGTTAATTATTTTTTGTACGTATTAGCCAATAAATTACTTTATAATATACATTGTAGTAATTCTACCATAGTTACAACTTGGACCATTATAATACAACCCTAAAAATGGCAAACAACCTTAAGGGGCTACCATTCCCCCGACCGCCCTTACACTTTTGGTAGTGTTTTTATGATTGAATTGCTTAAATCATCTACCAAATAAATATTAAATAAAAATATTAATCTATAGTGGTATGTATTTATTAAATATTATGCAACATATAAAGTTGAAACAACGTTTATTCAATATAAATAATAATGGGATAATATTTATATTTAGTATAACTTTATCCTAATGAAAAACTTCTGCAAATAAACAAAATGGATGATATAATAGCCGCTGTCAAAGCCAACAAAGTCCTCGAAATCTTGAAAAACGTATTTATCAGCAGAGATACCAAATTATAAAAAAAAAAAATTTACACCATCTATATACGCCCACATCTTGAGTTTGCAGTCGCTCCCTGGAGTCCTCTTTTTGAAAAAAGATATAAATGCTATAAAATGCATCTAGCATTGGGCTACCAAAATACGGCACAAAATAAAGCGCTTAAATTACGAGACAAAATGCTTCAAACTTTGTCTCAGCTCTCTACTAAATAGATGTTTACGCGGTGACCTCATACAAAAATATAAAAATAAAAACAATATTGACTCAGTTAGCTAGCATATTGATCCACCAAATATCCCACCAAGCTAGGAGAATCAGATTTTCCGAATACTTTTCAAAACAGAAATAAATATGATGCTAGCAATGTGAATACAATAACCACACGTTCTTAAAGAAAAACAGCCACATGCCTAAGACAATACTGATTCTGGACTATCGATGTTAGGTAAATATTTAATAAATAGTCCATAGTTAGTAGCGTTTGAATGTCTTAACATACTTTTAGTGGATATCAATTTATAATTTTGAATTTGTTGAACTTTTTTATCAATCAAAATAACATATTTTCCATTTTTATTTAAATAATCCGCTAAATAACTGTAATTTTGCTTTATCTGATGGCTACTAAATGTGACGGACTTTTCGCATATCCTCAATAAAAAAGTTTGAAAAATCGTTTACGTTTAATGCGTCAATTGGTTCGAATTGCTTTTTACTATTGCTTTTTGAATTCAAAATGTATGCTTCGAATTCATTTTTTAAGCTAATTTTACTTTTCATTAGATCTATCTTATATGCGATATATTTATCGTGTTTTTGATCAAATAAATATTTTAAATGAAAGTAGTTAATCAGTTATATAATCATTACATGAGGAAGTATTGTATTCTTCTCAAAGGCATTGAAGTATTGTATTTTTCCAAAAATCAAAAGATTGTTTAAATGCACCATTAACAGCCTAGAACAGGTAGAATGGTTTCATTGAAAACCAAATTTAAATGCACCATTAACAGCCTAGAACAGGTAGAATGGTTTCATCGAAAACCAAATTTAAATGCACCATTAACAGCCTAGAACAGGTAGAATGGTTTCATCGAAAACCAAATTTAAATGCACCATTAACAGCCTAGAACAGGTAGAATGGTTTCATCGAAAACCAAATTTAAATACACCATTAACAGCCTAGAACAGGTAGAATGGTTTCATCGAAAACCAAATTTAAATGCACCATTAACAGCCTAGAACAGGTAGAATGGTTTCATCAAAAACCAAATTTAAATGCACCATTAACAGCCTAGAACAGGTAGAATGGTTTCATCGAAAACCAAATTTAAATGCACCATTAACAGCCTAGAACAAGTAGAATGGTTTGATCGAAAATCAAATTTAAACTCATTTAAACAGTTAAAAGAATTTAGAAAAAAGTACACTCTAGAATACATTAATTTTTCAAGAAGCTTACTAGTATTAGATAAAAGAGAAGTAGGTCTATATTTAGTACATAAAAGTTTAGACCCGTTTTTAAAAATTGAAATAATACAAGATAATTTTAATATATCAGGAAAAGTTCCATTCATGAATGAGATATTAAATAGTTTAGAGAGAACATTTGAAAATTCGTAGTTAAAATCAATAAGAATGTTTGTAGGAATTCTGTTTGGACCTAATGATTTTCTCGGCTTCCATTTAGATATAAGAGATGAAATTTCAGGAACGTTTGTTGGAGATAGGAGTAGACTATGTAAGTTTGGATATTTAAGACACTTTTGATAGTTGACGTAAGACGAATGAATATTGGATTTAAGTTTATAAGCAACATTTGTAAAAAAAGTGTTAAATTTTTCAGAGATTAGAGTCAGTTCAGTTAAATATTTATCATTATCTTGTTGGGAGATAAGCTGTTATAATTTTTGCTATTTATTAGGTTATTAATGCTTTTCGAAATTTTGCGAAGATTTTTACATTATCTGAAAAGAAATTTTTTTAATGGATTTTTTTGCAAAGTTTATTTAAAGTAATTATCATGAATTTATATCGTTTAAAAATAGTTTTAAAAGCGTTTAAATCGTTTGATCTTAATTTTTTTTTTTTTTTGAAAAAGATTGTGTAATTGAATAGATTTTATGATTCCTTTTGTAATCCATGGTTTAAATCGACGTTTGAAGCTCTTAATACTAGTCTTTTTGAGTGGGGCATAGCGATCCAAAACTGATGTTGTTTCAGTAATAAAATTATGGAAACAAGAGTTAATGTCACTGTTTTTTATAAAATCATCCCAATAACGCTTTAATAAGTCAATTCTAAATTTTTTTTAACAAAGTTTTTAAAATTTCTACGATTTATTTTGTGACTCCGAGGTATAAATAATTTGCTGAAATTGGGATAAATACAAAATTGAGGTAGGTGATCAGAGACAGAAGTTGTCAAATTTCCAAAAATAATATCATTAGTTATTAAATTAGAAAGAATATTGTCAATTATTGTAGCAGCGTGTTCAGTAATTCTTGTTGGCAAAGTAATAAAAGGGCGAATATTATAAATAGAAAGTAAGTTTAAAAAATCACAGATCGCGATGTCATTACTTGATTGTATCAAATCTATATTAAAATCACCCAATAAGAAAACAGATTTATTTTCTGCAGATATTTTTAGATGTAATGTAGACATTATATGATTGAAAATATTTATGTCCATGCAAGGGTGTCTTAATGCACCCAACAATAAAGTTGGATTTTTTGGAAAAAAATTAATTCAACAAAAATACATTCTAAAAAGTTAGGTGAATAAATCATCAAATCATCTCATCGTTTGTATATTAATTTTTTTGACAAGTATAACAATGTCCCCCCACAGGATGATTCAGTGAAAGTGCGTTTCAAGAAAGTGCGTTTATTTTGACAAACTTCAGGGAATGAAATTTGTCTATGTCATAATATTTACAAGTTATGTCTAGCGATGCATAGATTTCTTCATCGGAATCTAAAACACGAGATGAAACATAGTCATTAATTTGGTTAGAAATTTTGTTCAAATGTAACGATCGAAAGATGTTTGTAGACGGAGGTAAATCGTCAGTTATTATAATTTTATTAAAAGAAAATAATAGTTTAAGTTCGTTATCTGGTACATTTGTAAATGGAATTGTCGCTCAATGCGACATTGTGTAAATTGTACTAAGAGTATGTACTTTTAGTACAATTTACACAATTGTCGCATTGAGCGACCTAATTGTAATAAATTGCACCCAGAACCATTGAACCTGTTGCATTTTGTATGAGTCCAAAATGAGCATATCTCACATTGAATTGATCAGCAAGTTAGACTTATTTTTTTTTTACAGAAATAACAATTTAAAGCCATAGTAGAACAATGAAAATGAGTAGTTTCTGGAATAGAATAAAGAATGTAAGAGATATTATAGAGGAAGTAAAAATAGTAGCTATGGTAATAATAAACGTAATAAGCAAACAATAACAGTAAGTATGATTATTAGGAAGAATAGCAAATTAACTTGAAACAAAAACAGTTATAATAAGTAATATTAACAATGATATTATTAACAATAACACAATGATCAAACAAAATTTTGATTAAAAATATATGATTAAATTAAATTATATGATTTAAATAAAAATTATTCTTTAAATAAATAATAAATTTAATAAAGATTAACAGAAATGTAAATTAATAATAGAGTAATAATTTAACTATATCTTATATAAAATAATCTAACTAAATAAATAAACTGATAATTA